AAGTGTACCTCTGGTGCAAATTACTGACCTCTGTCATCATTTTAGGTGGGGGAACTTGCACAATCGGTGGCTGACTAAATACTTTTTTGCCCCACTTTACATACACCGACAAGGAGATTATGGCATTGATGGAATACAACTCTGACAGCAGACACAATGTGGTAGGTTATACCTTTAGGTATATAAATATTTGAACAGAGACAACTTTTTTTTAAAATAATTTTGGTTCTGTTTGTTACCACAATGAATTTTAAATGACACAACTCAGATACAGTTGAAGTGCAGACTTTCAACTTTAATTCAGTGGGTTGAACAAAAAAGGCTGCATTAAATGTGGGGAACTGAAACATTTTTAACACAATCCCTTCATTTCACGGGCTCAAAAGTAATTGGACAAAATAAATAACTGAAAATAGATTGTTCATTTCTAATACTTGGTTTAAACCCTTTGGTGGCAATGAAGGCCCGAGGTCTTGTTCTCATGTACATCACCAGATGCTGGGTTTCCTCTTTAATGTTCAACCAGGCCTTTCAGTTGCTTTATGTTCGTGGGTCTTTCTGTCTGAAGTTTAGTCTTCAACACATGCTCTACTGGGTTTTCCACTTCTTTGCTTTAAAAAACTCCTGGGTTGCTTTGACTATATGTTTTTGGTCATTGTTCATCTGTATTATGAAATGTTGGCCAATCATTTTCATTGCATTTAGCTGGATTTGAGCAGACGGTATCTCTTTGAACACCTCACTATTCAATCAGCTGCTTCTGTCCTGTGTCACATCATCAAAAAACACTAGTGTCCCAGTACCACTGCTAGCCTTGCATGCCCAAGCCTTTACACTTCCTCCACCGTGTTTTACAGATCATGTGGTATGCTTTGAATCATGAGCTGATATACGCCTTCTCCATACTTTTTTCTTGCCATCATTATGGTAGCGGTTGATCTTGGTTTAATCTGTCTGTGCTGTCTTTTTTAGATGTTTTATTTTGTTTGTTTGTTTTTTAGCAAAGTCCAAGCTGTTCTTTCTATTCTTGAGGCTTATTAGTGGCTTGCACCTTGCAGTGGACACTCTGTACTTATTTTCATGCAGTCTTCTCTTCATGGTAGACTTGCATTTCAATACGCCTACTTCCTGGAGAGTGTTGTTCACTTGGTTGACTGTTGTAAAGGGGTTTGTCCTTACCCTGGAAATGATTCTGTGTTCATCCACCCCTGTTGTCTTCCATGGATGTCCAAGTCTTTCTGCATTACTGAGTTCATCAGTGCTTTCTTTCTTCCTCAGGATGTACAAAACTTTAGATTTTGCCACTACTAATATTGTAGCAATTTTTTGAATGTTTTTTTTCTGTTTTCACAGCTTAAGGATGGTTTGTATCACCTGCATGGAGCAAAATTTTCCAAATACAAGCACCACACCTCAAATCAACTCCCGGGATACTGATAGTGGACTTCCGGAGGTGCAGAGAAGTACACACCCCCATCACCATCAACGGCGCTGCTGTGGAGAGAGTGAGCAGCTTCCGCTTCCTTGGTGTACATCTGGCTGAGGATCTTACGTGGTCAGTACACATAAACAAAACAGTAAAGAAGGCACAACAGCACCCCTTCTTTCTCAGGAGACTGAAAAGATTCGGCTTGAGCCCCCGCATCCTCAGGACCTTCTATCACTGTGCCATTGAGAGCATCCTCACTGGATGCATCACCACCTGGTATGGCAACGGCACCGCCTACAACCGCAAAGCTCTCCAGAGAGTAGTGCGGTGCTCTGAACGGATAATTGGAGGTGAGCTTCCCTCCCCTCCAGGACATCTACAGGAAGCGGTGCCTGAGGAAAGTGGGGAGGATCATCAAGGACTCCAGTCACCCCAGCCATAAACTGTTCAGACTGCTTCCATCAGGAAGGAGGTTCTGCAGCATCCGGTCCCGTACCAGCAGACTGAGAGACAGCTTTTTCCATCAGGCCATCAGACTGCTGAACACTTCATAGACACCTCACCTTCACTACTGGAACTTCAACATTATGCACACAAGAATTTCACTCACATGTACTGTACCAGTGTACCTGCACATGTGATGTGACAATAAAAGTGATTTGATTTGAATAAAAGTGATTTGATTTGATATTGGAATACGTTTCCAATAATATATGCACAATGGAGACACTACTGAGCAGTGTGGACATAATGAGCCAACCCTGGTAGGAGAGAGCAATGTTAAGGAACTAGTTGATGATCAGGCACCTACTATGACAAATGTATTTACTGAGCTGAGTATAAAGATTATGACTAGACTCAAAACAGTCAAATAACCAGTAATATGGCTCCTCAGCTCACTGTAGATATTAACATAGCTCTACTCACCATCTTCACTACCAGCATTATAGAAACCAGTAAGTTTGTATGTGCCACTGCCACAGTTTTCCTAGAAACATTTAGGTAAAGGGGCAAGAATAAATCCAAAGAGGTCCCCCACAGATTGGGTATTTGAAGCAAAAATCAAAGAAGCCTAGAAAGATTTTAGTAGGAATTTAGAGGTGCAGTAAGGTTGTGAGAAATGGGTTCTGGAAGGATAAGAAGCACAGCAAGATGTCCATAACTGAGACTCTGCAGACTTCCAAACAGAAGCTCTGGCCTCTAGGTTGCAGAGCTATACCATGGAAATAGGGACCAAGACCGAGACCTGCATGTGGTGGACTCCTTGCGGCAAGGGGAAAAGAGCACATGGACCAACCCACACAGAGCTGGGACTGAACAATACTGAAAGGAAGGAAGTGTGAAATTGTCTACCAAAAACTGTACCCTTTTCCTCCTTGTCCATCCCCCTCTGTGTCTGGTTGGTTGGAAAATAGCTGCCTTTTCATCTGAAACTTGCAGTCCCAGGTGTTCCAATCACTTCAATGGTCACAAGTGTCCAGAATCATTCTTCTAAAAGCACTTGTGAAAAAAATGGATTGCTCTCAGGAGCTCGGTGAATTCCAGTGTGGTACTGTGATAGAATGCCACCTGTGCAACGAGTCCAGTTTTGAAATTCCTTGCTACTAAATATTCCACAGTAAACTGTTGGTGGTACTGGTAACAATAGCAACTCGGCCACGACATGGTCGGTCATATAAAATCACAGAGTGGGTCAGCGGATGCAGAGGTGCAGAAGTCACCAGCTTTCTGCAGAGTCAATCACTACAGATCTCTAAACTTCATGTGGCTTTCAGATTAGCTCAAGAACAGCTCATACATGGGTGACATCAAGCTGTATGCCAGAAGTGAGAGAGACATCTACTCACGGATCCATCGGGACAACTGCAAGTACCTGGTTATTCCACACGCCAGCAGCAACTATGATAAAGATGTGAAAGGTCAGCCATAGCCAAGTACCTCTAAAAGACGGGGGCTGAGAACCTAGTAATAAGATCCAAGCTATAAATATGTGTGGGTGTTTGAGTGTGAGTGTGCATTTACATCCAAGAGCACTCTAACATTTTGCTATCATATTTTAGTTGAAAATAATTTTTTTTCTCCATGTTATTTGATAATTATTTGATATAAATGAACATAATTCTTTGCAGTGCCTCTTAAGATTATCAAGGTTTGTATTAGTGAGTTTTGTAAGAGTCCAGATATTTCATTTTCTGAAATTACACAGAGCATAAGAAGGCCCATCTCTTTACCTAAGTTAAAATAAACCAAGAGGCTCAAGGCCCATTATTCTCTATTTTCTTTGGTCTCATCTGAAACATCAATAGATTTAAGCACTTAGCAAGCCTTTGTCACCAGCTGCTTGTCCTCAGCCCACCTATTATCCAAGTCTTTGGAAATTAAAACCTTGAAAATCGATAATAGTAGTTTGGAAAAGCTTGAGGAGCTCAAAACGCAGTTATATGCAAACTGAAACATCATCTAGCCAGGAGGGTCAAACATAAGACCTTCAATCTGGTCCATTGGAGGACTGAAAAATGTTGAGGAGTGCATACATTTTAGACTCTCAACTGTATTTTCATTAGTTTTACAGCTTTTCCTACTGATAAAGATCTCCCCATGGCCATTCATTTGTTGAATTTGACATATTTATTTTTCACAATTTAAGTCCAAAGAGTTGCACTAACAGATTTCTTTCATTTACTGCAACACCATTTTCTTTGTTCATGAGACATAATGTTGAAATTGCACTTCTTTGTGTAGTTCAAGCTCTTTACACTGACAGTTTCATTGGCCTGGTCTATTTGAGAACAAATTGCATTGTATGAGGCCCACGATGTAAAATTTGTTTGACATCCTCGATCTAAACAGTTAAAAGATTACTGGTTTATGTTTTATTCGTTAACGACATTGGATATTATTAGTTTAGAAATTTCAGTACTTTGTAGTAAGTTGGATTGAGTAAATTGGGATTGGGTGGGATGTGGTATAGCATGGGGAAAAAAATCTAAGCTGTAAGAGTGAGTAGAATCTTTTTTTCGCTTCAATTCATCTTTATCTGCATGGATTTATGCAGCTGTCCCAGCAATTTGCCGGTCTTTATGCTACACCCTGTTATCAGACTTCAAAGACCATGCGGTGTTGCTTATCAAAGTGTTCAGGGTCTATAAAAGCTTATCGTGGTGGGACATCACTTCTGACACCAACAATGTGTGTTTAGGGTGAGATTGGACTTTTGATTTCAATTAAACCCGTAGGTGATAACGGCACTGATGATGCTTGTTTGTTGTTTTGCAAAACTGATCAAATGTGTCTGAGAATCAAATTGCCATGAGGGAGTATAAGTTATTACTAGTTCGCCTTTGTGATATTTTCTAAGACTGACCAAGAAATATCTCACTTATAGTTTTGTAAATAAATATTTAACTATATCAGTGTGACAGCCTTGCATGTAAGGGTGGCGGAATAACTTTACTCTAAGAGCTGTTTGCTACAATAAATATAATATTGGGTGTTGGAACCATTATATCATGGCATAAGATAAGTAGTAGTAGAAGGATCCCTACTACCTGAAGAAGAAGCCTCAGATATAATGTACAGCCAGTTAGACTATTTCATTGATTTTTGCTGCCCTTTTACTGAAGCAAAGAAAAATATGAAAAGGTCTGAGGTTTAGCAGTACTTAGTAACAGCTAAGGTGTGGTTTATGTAGGGAAATGGAAAAGAAGCCTCTCAAAAGAGGCTTAGAAGCACATCAGGACCTCAACGCTGCCCTGTACCACTGCAATTGTGTGATTATTTAAAGACAAAACTACCCAAATGCAAAACCAAATCTTTATTACAGAGGTTTAAGCCGCAAACAGGAGGTCAAAACAAATTAAACAACATGTAGACATGTAGTAGGAAAAAGGAAAAAGAACAATAGGAAAAGACAAAATTGCAAAAACGAAGGAAAGAATTGCCAAGAGGAAGACTGAGGTAGTCCTTGCTGAAACAATCAAGAACTAAATCATTTTGTGTGACAAATACATTTTTCTATTTGACTCTTGTGTATAGTTTGTCTTTATGAATCTCACCCTTGAAGCTGTGCCTGTAATTTACACAAGCTCTCATGGAGCTTGAATGAAGGGAAGCTACGCATCAGCTTCTTCAGTTTGCCATTTTTGTTTCTCAGATATTTAAAATGGCCGTTTTAACACGCTGGGCAAAGGGTAATTTCAACTTGGAAGAACAAGACAGTGAGAGAAAAGCTAGAAGACAGAGCAGAGGGAGATTGATTGGGAGACATACCTTGGCTAATGGAAAAGCCTTCGGATGAGACTGTAATCTGGTTAAAATGTCAGACTGCTTTCAGCCGGGGAGCCTGACGTTTTCCCAATTAAGCAGAGGTGCAAAGGCAGCTTTTCCCTAATTGTTTAACATGTAGTCCAGTGGCCGAATGGCACAACTTACACAGGTATTCAGGAGATCACCATGTGGTGATTGACATAGCCAGCCCTCTGTGATGTCTACTCCATGAACCTCATCAGCCTTCAGGTCAGCACCTGCACAACAAAAGAAGGGCTTGTGGCTCGGCTTAGAATGAAGAGCTTCAGAGGGATAATAAAGCTGTTATCAATAGTGGTGGTTATCAGACATGAGTAGTTTTGAAGGACTTCATTTATCTTCATTATTAGTCTAAATATGTCATTCAGATATTTGCACCTCCCTCTCTGTTGACCATTCAGAATAATTCAAATAAAGAACAAGGGAACTGCTTTCCCTCTTCTATTTACTGCCTTTTTTGAAGTCCTGCAATATGTCCACTTTTACTGAGCTACTGCTATAGATCCTGCCGGGCTCTCAGAAGTGAAACATCCAATTTTGGCCAGTCTTGTGTTTGCAGCAGTCCTGCGCTGGAGTGGCTGGTCAGTGCTGAGTTTCACTGTGTTTGGCCAGCTTAATGAAACCTTGATTTCCCAAACTCCCTTTCTGTATGTTTCTTCTCTCATCACTCTGCTCAGAGTCTCTGTGCCTCTGACAGTGCCAGGAGCTGCCATTTGGTTTTGTTTGTAGAGTGC